CAATGTCTATAGATCCAGCCTGCTGACTGGCTTGCGTACCCGGCCGCACCTCGTGCGTAGCAGAGTCGGTACGTCAGCGTGAGTGGGTGCGAGCGTTGGGGCAAGACTAGGGGCCAAATGTGGGGTCTCTGGAGTGGACGCACCAGCGCACTGAGGTGGCGGCTCCTCAGCGTCCACAGTGGGTGTTGGAAGGGGTTGTGGCATAGCCCGTGGAGACGGTTCGAGGCGGAGATGGCGGCGGTTCCGTCGCAGCAACGCACCTTGGGGTGTGGCAACGAGATAGGACCTCGGAGTGACGCTCTCCTTGGAGATGATGGCCGGTGTTGCCCAAGCCTTCTCCTGGTCCAGCTTAGTTAGGACAGCATCCCCTGGATGAAGTGGAGGTAGGGGCTTAGCACCATGGCGGCGGTCGAAGTAGAACGCCTGCTCGGCCTTCTGACCAGTATCCCTTCGTCTAACTTCTCTTTTGTTTGGCCATTTAGGTTGAAGATTCTTCTCCAAGGTAGGCAGGGTTGTCCTGATCCTCCTCCCCATAAGAAGTTCCGCTGGGCTGAAGCCTGTAGTGGCACAGGGAGTAGACCTAAAGCACATTAGCGCTATCAGTGGGTCGTCGTGCCGGAGGATTTTCTTTGCAGTCTGTACTGCCCTCTCCGCGTGACCATTTCCCTGTGGGTGGTGGGGACTAGACGTTACGTGGGCGAAATCCATCTCTCTCGCGAAGGCCTGGAACTCAGAGCTGGAAAACTGAGGGCCATTGTCACTCACCACCACGTCAGGGATCCCAAACCTAGCAAAGGTCGACTTCAGTTTCTGAACAACTTGGCCGCTGGTCGTGGATGATAGGTGAAGTATTTCCAGAAAACGTGAGTAGTAATCCGACACAACGAGATAATTATTCCGGTTGTGTTCACAGAGATCCAGGGCTATCCTTTGCCATGGACGATCTGGCAAAGGTGTGGAGATGAGCGGCTCCTTTGTCTGCGTTGGCCTCTGGGCCAGACATGTGTGGCACTGCAGCACTACATTCTTTAACTCAGTGGAGAGCCCCGGCCACCACACAGATGAATTAGCCCTATCCCTGCACTTGGTGAGGCCTTGGTGCCCTTCATGTAGTTTGTGTAGAATGGCTGTTCTCTGCGACTTTGGAATGACGATTCTGCAGCCTCGTATAACCAGGTCGTCAGTCTCTGATAGCTCGTTTTTCACTTTCATGTACGCTTTAATGTTCAATGGCACACTAGCTCCGTGTGCAGGCCAACCCCTGCGAATGTACGTAATGACGGTCTGTAGTTCAACGTCCGTTGCAGTGGCTGCTTTAATGCTTTCCATTCGGCTTGGGGACGCTGGAATGCCCTGTAACACGGTGGCTATGTAGCAGTCCACTTCACTGTGAGTGTTAGTGTCATCCTCAGCCCGAGTCTGTGGACTCCGTGACAACGTGTCGGCGATGACAAGCGTTTTGCCAGGGACATAGACGGCCTCCGGCTTGTACCTCATGAGCCTCATCAGGAGGCGTTGACACCTCAATGGAACATTGTCAAGGTCCCGGCTATTGAACAGGGGTACCAAAGGTCTATGGTCGGTCTCAAGCCTGAAGCGATCTAAGCCACATAGATACTTATCAAACTTCTCGCAGGCCCAAACACTTGCCAAACACTCCTTTTCGATTTGTGCGTAGCGTGTTTCAGCCTCCGTGAGGCGTCTAGAGCAGTAGGCAACAGGTTTCCACTCTGTGCCATGAAGCTGAAGCAGCACAGCCCCAAGCCCGTAGCTACTGGCGTCGGCAGATACGGCTGTGAGTCTGTTGACATCATAGAAGGCGAGAACAGGTGCTGATGTAAGCGCTCTCTTTATGTTCTCGAAGGCTGCCTGCTGTGGGTGATCCCAGGTCCAACTGTTTTTGCTTTTAAGCAACTCGTACAGTGGCTGGCATATTGTGGCAAGAGCAGGAATATATCTGCCCAGGTAATTAACCATTCCTAGGATCCGTTTAAGCTCTTGCACATTTTCTGGTGACGGCAGCTGAAGAATGGCGCTCACTTTCTCAGGGTCTGGCCTGACCCCAGAATGGTCGATCAGGTGCCCTAGGAAGCGAAGCTGGCTCTGTCTGAAGGAGCACTTCTCTCGGTTGAGCTTCAATCCTGCTAGCTCAATGCGCTGCTGCACCTTCTCAAGTCGGGTGTCGTGTTGTTCCATGGTGGCTCCATAGACCAGGATGTCATCCATAAAGACCTCCACACCTTCGAGCCCCTCTAAGGTCTCCAACATCTTTCGCTGAAAGATCTCTGGTGCACTCGTTATCCCAAAGGGCAGCCTCTTAAAGCAATACCTGCCAAATGGCGTGATGAATGTCGTTAGTTTGCAACTCTCGTGATGCAATGGGATCTGCCAAAATCCACTGGCTGCATCCAGCGAGGAGAAGACCGTTGCCCCACTCAACCTGGACATCGTTTCCTCAGGGGTAGGCAAGATATAGAACTGGATATAGACAGCCCCCTGCCGCAAAACAGGTCCTAGTGGCGTAAAGCCGTAAAGCCCAGTACATGACACCAGTTACTCAATTATTGTTCAAAAGGTTGAGTGTGTAGACTACACAAACGGTAAAACAACATTACCCTGAAAGATTTTTGTGAGTTATTGGTTTCAGTGCTATCAAACTCCAACTTCACCATGAAAGATGCAGCGATGTGTTCCCCTGAGTAAGAGACGCTTTTTGTCTTTTCTCTGAGAATTCCTGTTCTTTCTCATCTTTCATTGATCTTCTTAAAATCAAAATTAGAATTAAATTTTAACATCTGCAGGAAGCTCCTGAGGATGTTTTACCAGTCGGTGGTTGCTGGAGTACTTTTCCATGCTGTGGTGTGCTGGGGGAGCAGCACAGTAAAGAAGGACTCATCCAGGCTGGAAAAACTGATCAGGGAGGCTGGCCCTGTGGTCGGCATGAAGCTGGACACTCTGGTGACAGTGGCAGAGAAAAGGACACTAAAAAACTGCTAGAATTATGGGCAATGCTGGGCATCCTCTGCACACAGTCATAAACAACCAGAGGAGTCTGTTCAGTGACAGGTTGCTTCAAAGACAAGAAACAACAGACTTAAAAACTCGTTTGTCCCACACGCCATCAGACTGTTCAACTCCTCTCTGGAGGGGAGACAGGGGGACAAAGGAGGGGGGGACAACTAATCTGTACTAAGCTGTAGTGCCTCTTCACAGTGCAATACTTTTTGTTAATAACCAACGGTGTAATAGACTTCAATACTTGAAATGTGCAATTCCCTTGTATTCTTATTCCTATTTATTCTATTTATCCCTTTTGTATTCTCTTTATTTACACATGTCTCTGTATTTATATATGTGGACATATATAATATTCTGCTCACATTCTGTAACTTCTGTTGGTGCTGTGCTATTTGGAAACTGAATTTCCCAGAGGAATCCACCCGAGGGATTAATAAAGTTCTATTTTATTGTAAGCGCCAGACGTCTGCTTTATATTTTTATTTACGATTGAGTTCATGTTTGTTTTATAATTCATAGATTCATTACATAAGACATTTTTTCAGGATTAATAAATGTGAAAATATATGTGTTTACATAAAGTAATTTTAAGTCACTGTTTTGAGACTGGAACCTAAAAGGGGGTACCTCTCACTTTAAGTATGTAAGTGCAATCCGGTCGTTCAGTCTGACATCACTAGCCGTGTCTGGACCTAAACTCCGCTGCAGGTCCATATATCAAACGATCACTGTGGCATTACTGAGAGTTGAAAAACTGTCTAAAGTCTTTCATCTTTAATAAAATGATCAGCGTTCTGCTCTACCAGGTGTAACAATTGAGTTTAACGTCCAGGCATCCATGAAAACGGAATTTATGACGTTTAACAGAGTTAGAAGTTAGCAGGAAGTTAGCTCGCTAGCTTCTATCTAAATACAATATAGCATGTTCTGACTGCGGGGTTTTGGAAACAAATTAAAACGTACAGCTCTGCTATCACTTCCAACATAAATGAAGACAGAAAACTTAACAGCAGTGACGTTTGTAGGGTTACTGAAGTTGGGCTAGCTGGTATATAATGATGTGCTACGTGACCGCTAGCGACACAGCTATGTTAGCATAATATAAACAAGCTAACTTTTTTTCCACTCGATAAAAGTTAACGTGAGTGTTCTCGGTGGTCAGGAACAAATGTAATCGCATGGCAGGATGCTGTAAAAGGACCAAACTTCAGCCAGGAGAACAACTGAGATAATCCATCCACAATACGAGGTTAGTCATTCATATACTGCTGCATGGGCTGGGCTGTAGTTACATCCTAAGGTTTTAAAAACTGAGCTTAAATAAATGATTAGCGGTAATTAGGGCTGCCACAAACGATCCCATACGGTAAAAAAATATATTTTAAAATACATTTTGAAATATATTTCAAAATATACAAAAAATGGCCAAAAAATATATGTGCTAAAATACATTTTAAAATATATTTATATATTTAAAATGTATTTTAGCACATATATTTTTTGGCCATTTTTTGAAATATATTTCAAAATGTATTTTAAAATACATTTTGAAATATGTTTATGTATTTTGAAATGTATTTTAGCACATATATTTTTTGGCCATTTTTTGTATATTTTGAAATATATTAATAAAATATATTTCAAAATACAATTTAAATTTATTTAAAATCATTCAAAAAAATATAAATTTAACCCTTCATATATTTCTAAGAAAACACATTCACATGTAACATCTGAAAGAAATCTTTATTTGATGTTTAAAACATACATATAGCATATCAATCAAGCAAGGAATATTCATTTTATAAGTTTATTCTCATTACATACTTAAACATTCTAAAAGAAACACACACACATATACATATATGTGTGTATATATATATGTGTGTATATATATATATATATATATACACATACACACACACACACACACACACATATGTGTGTGTGTGTGTGTATATGTGTGTGTGATTGTATGAACATAAGTCAGCATACTTAAAATGTAATTTCTTTTCCTTTTCCAGCAGTCTCAGTTCCCCCAGCTTTCACGGCAATCCTCAAAGCCCTTCTGGACATGCTGGGAAACCCCTTCCTTACCGCCACTGTAACATACAAAAGTCACAGTTCTATTACTTTTATCAGAGTTAAAATAAAAATGTGATTTATGTTAGCTGGCTTCATTTAGCAAACAGATATTTCTGTTTATATAGATACAGATATTAATACAGATATATTTTACGCATAATTTTACCTCTTTTTTTTCCTAGATGGGAAGTCTATCCAATTCACATTACAGTAATGCTAACACCCCTTTTGGTCGTCTCTCCTTACCTTCCAGCATTCATAAATCTGTTGACCTTCTTTGTCTGAGACCAACCACTACAATGCATCATCACCTATTTGTATTGGTAACTTACTTTACAACCTATTTTAATGGTTGCAAAGTAAGTTACTTGTGCTGTATGCAATTTTAGATACACAGAAAGTCTTCACTTACTATATATGGCTGTCATAGTGTCCTTATCAAGGGCAGTTCTTCACTCTGCGCCGATGTCCGTTTTGCTCTGTCCTCCTATAAAAAGCATGAACATTTGAGTGTTTGACTAGTTTTAGATTTCCAAAAATTTGATATTTGTACAACTAAACATTTGAACTACAATATATGCTATTGAGCGATACTTTTATGGGTAATTTTTGGTAAAGAAACTGGTGACAGAGTTGTAGGCTTTTTAAAGTACTATTAGCTAACCATTTGAACTGACTTTCAAAGCTGATTACCTTTTAAATTGCTGTGGATCAAAACCTCCAGTGGGAAGGCGGCCATTAGAAGAACACGCACCATTGAACCTGAAAATAACAAAAACAAACAAAAAACAGAACAATATATAAGAGTCCGGTAGGGTAATAAATCTCTTCTGAAGCAATATAGTTCATTTTGGGTGAAAAACAAAACATTCCTCTAAAATATATATACTGACATCAGCAATCAACATCATGATTGTAATTATTTCCTTTTTAGTACATCTACTGCTGTTTGCATGTGTCAAGCACTACGACTGTATCTATGCATATGCAATGTCTAAGCAGTAGTATTGGTCTGAATGACAACAAACCTAACTAGTGTTTTGGAAAATCTGTTAGAAAACAGTTATTTCAATAATTATGATTAGCATGTGACACAGACACCGCATAAAAAACTACAACAACAAATACTTACTTTAGGAGGATGGGGGAGGGCAGCATGAGGTTGAGACTTTGACATCTGTAAAAAACAAATTCATGTATTACAAACAAGTCACTTAAAAATACATTAATGTGGCAGACTGTTCCCTGTTCAGATGCAGTGTATAAGTACAATCAGGGCTGTCACAACAATGGGGTGGGGCCAAGTGGCTGCAACCCTAGGTACAATGTGCAGGTATATATAATTACATATAATATATGTGAATAAAGCAAGAATCTGTTTAGGTTAGTCACTGTGCTGACTGATGCTTGCTAGGTTTATATGATTGCAAACTGCACAAAAACAACAACAGCAACAACATTAATGACAATGACAAACAAAATTACTTACATTTATGTAAATCTCACATTAGGAAGATCTGCATTCGATTTCATGGGCTGAAATAAATAGGCAGAAACATTACTGCTAAAAAAATAAAAAACAAAAACTCTAAAAAGCCTAAAAATGACTTAAAAAGCAAGGAAATGTGGAACATTGTAATTAGCGAACATTAATAAAGCATAACTGTTCTTTGTTTCTAACCTTGGTAAGTACTCTGTAGCCAGAAGGAGAGGTAGGATTTCTGTGAAAGCCAAATTAAATGTGAATAGGCTTTGATAGTTATTGAGAAGGCAGAATAATAAGAAAAGGCAAAAGTACGTCACAATATAATTAATTAAGTTACATATTTTGATTACCAAATTATGGAAGCGTGGAGCTGCCACCCAGGCAAAAGAAAAATAGAGCTGTATCACGTTATGACGTGAAATGTTTATTGTTCTAACATTATGCTTTTCATGTTTGTATAATATAATATCACGTTATTATAATATACATAATTGTCACGTTCGCACAATATTGTACGGACGTGATAATTATGTACATTTTTCGTACAATGTTGTTCAAACATGTTGTTCAAACATGATAGTATATTGTTAGAACGATAAACTTTTCACGTTATAACGTGATATACTTATATTTCTCTTTTGCCTGGGTGGCAGCTCTACGCTTCCGTTCCAAATACACGAGAATAAAGTAATATTATATGGGAAAAGGCACCTGCTAGCTTGATGATGGAGGCTTCTTAGACTGGCCACCCGCCTTGGCTTCTTGTCGCCACTCCATGAAATAAAGGTCCGTTTCCTCCATGCCGGCTAATTATTCATCCTCATTAAAATCTCGTATATGTTCAGTTGGCAGAATTGAGAATTTTACATCTTCCAACCACTTAATTAACGCGAACATAATCGGCTTGTTTCTTCCCGTCTCCTGTATCCGGCCGTTCCTCTCGCTGTCAGATTTCGCGCCTCAGAGACGTCGTTATTTTTCAAAAAAAAAAAAAGAAGAAAGAAAGAAACAGCAACAACTACTAAAGAGAGTTTTTGCACGTTCATTGCACATTTGTGGGAATGTTTAAATATTTAATTTTTATTAATTACTTTTCATTATATCTTTATTTTTTAAACCACCGTGGCAATGCGCATGCGCATACACTCCTGCACGCAAAGGGCTTTGGAGTTGACGTAATGTCGCAATGCATTGTGGGAGCGCAGCACCATCTTGGCAGGTCACGAATCAAAACAAGTTTGCTACGAACCATTCTGAAACGTAGCTCAAAAGAAAATGACGGTATAGAGACAGATTCTGTCCAGATGCAAAGAGACGGTACTTGATTGTTGAAATGTGGACCCGTATGAAATATAGCCGTGGAGTAGAAACCCTGAAGACCAAACCGCTATTGACTTAGCATGATCTACTCTCATACCATGTCTGTGGAGTCAGAGCATACACGGCGCACCAATTTCGCAATTATAAATCTCTGGAGGCGCACATCCAATTCACCAAGGACTGGGTACAAGATTTGGCTATTTTTAAGCCTCCACGTTGTGAGTACGCCGTCATTCAAGCAAAGGTAAGTCAGCTCGAGTACTGCGAGTAAAATGCGTTTGATTCCCCCCAACATTCAAATTAGTGCTAGTAAAAATTCATTCGTGAGGGGGAAATTACAGTGAGAACATGTAGAGGCTCTGTTAGAGGGATAACATAGTGAGTTCAGTGCATTGATGTGACATTGTCCTGAAGGATTTAGTTATTCTTTATGGTTAAAGAAATTGCCCTAATTAATTCATATTTATTATAAATAATCCTAATTACACATCTTGCACACAAGAATTTCACTCACATGTGCTGTACCAATGTACCTGCACATGTGATGTGACAATAAAAAGTGATTTGATTTGTGATTTGATTTGATTTGCTTCCTTGTTTGTGTCCTGTGTCACTAAAAATACATTCATTACATACTTTAGGTTCATTTTTTGCTGATAGGTTTCTAAAAAGAAACATGCAGATTTAGAATATAACATGCAGCGTTCTATAGATGGATACATAAAAACACTTTATTTGTTACATTTATGATAAATGGATTTGAAAGTAAATAAAACACATTTGTGTCGGACTTGGCTTATTAAAGTTCTTGTCTTTAAATGAACTTTGTCTGTGTGTGTTTTAGGTCCTGCACTCTTAAAGACTGAATTGCAGCATTGCAGCCACAGGTCATTGTGAGCATCACAGGGAAGGTTGAAGCCGCCCACTGCAGCTGTATGGCTAGAGTCGTGGAGACTTGCAGCCATGTCACTGCTCTTCTGTTTAATGTAGAAGCAACAGTGAGGATCTGTGGCACAAGGACTGTTACAGATGAACCTGCATACTGGGTTTTGCTGGGTAATATGACCAAGATACAGCCAGAGGTTGGCCATAAGATAGACTTCTCCTCTTCAGCTGCCCAAAAAAAAGGTTCTTGATCAAAACATAAACAGACCATTCGTTGTGACAGGTAAAAGAAGCCATCCTCAAAAAAGAAAAGTTCCACCTGCTACTGTGGAGGAGTTGGATCAACTGATGGGACAATATTTTTCCAAGCATAGTTCTGTTCTGAATAACCCATAATGTTTTAATTTAGGGGGCCATGTAAATACTTTGCATTTACTGAATATGTACTTACTAAATGCCACTGTTCAAAAGTTGAATAAAGAAACAAAGAAATGTTTGCCTATTTTTAATTAAAAGCACTTTGTCGAACATCACATCAGTTACAATGTAGAAAAAATGTTATGTATAGTTTACAAATGACAAAATGTTCACATAAAATCATGACAGCATTTGTATAATATCATCCACTACTAGCATTCTGTAATTTACTGTCTCTTTTGAAAACTTATCACTACATAAACAGCACAAGACTTAAAAGTATTTAACAAGAGAGTTTTTCCCTGGTTTTACCACCACACTGGGGCACATGTTCACCAAAACGCAGCAAACCTTTGCCATCTTATCCAGGAAGGTCACCTTTTTACCCACACATGGAAGAAGTAATCTGATTGGCATGGTGGTATGTAGCATGTAGTTTGAAGCAGGGATTTCGTAGTGCCCCATGTGTAGTGTTGGAACCCAGTCAGCATTTGTTTCATTCATTTCATAGGCTGGTTTGTTGCAATAATGCCAAATAGTTAGCAACTCTATAAATAGAAGGTAGTTCTGCATGTTTGTTCTAAGTTTGTGCTATTGAAAATAAAATTAACAGGCTATAAATAATAATATGAACTTATTTAGAACTTACCTGAATGAAAATACTGGAGCACACCAACAGATATCTGTGGCTGGTAGAGAACTGAATATCAGCTCGTCTCGCAGCTGCTATCCAGGCTAGACGCCTTCTTTTGGTAACATCCAACCCATAAGCTCCCTCATGATGTTTCCAGGTGAGGAAACAATGAAAAGAGAGCCTGTTTTCAAGCTTATTCCTTTGTCGGTAGTGCAATCTAACATTACAACCGACCACACAGCAAGCATTTGTTTGGCCTGCTAATATGGCGCCTTGACCAAAAATCGTGGCTACGCCCCATCCCGTAAGATCACGCTCCAGAGCCCTATTAACGTACGGATCTAGAAAGAAGACGCTGCATTTTTAACTCTGAGGGAGATGGAGAATGAGCCTATTTCCAAAACAGTGGAGTGTGTTCCTTTAAATACTAAATTGTATATATTGTCAAAAACTAAAGTGTACATAGCAGTTGTTGTATCTTGTTTACTGTATCACTGACAGATAATTTCAAAGTCAATGAACGCTACATTATAGTGAGATATTGTGTAATGTGAAATACTGTAAGCAAATGAATAAACAACCTAATTCGTGATAGACCTTTGACTCTGTTTTGTTTGAATCCAACTGTTTTTTGCAGATGTGCATAAAACATGTTACTTTTAGTATTGTTATCATTATCATCATTATTGCACTAAATATATTTTAAGTAAAGGATACTTTGATATACATTCTACTGTAAGGTTGGAAATGTATTTTCTTCACCCTAAAATATGTTTTGAAATGTATTTTGGTTTGAAAGAAATACATTTTCAATTTCAAAAATATATTTTTTTGGAGCATCACAAATACAAAATATATTTACCATATATTTGAAATATATTTTGGCCAGGAAAAATGTATTTTTTTACCGTATGGGATTATTTTGATAGTTGACTAGTCACCGATTATTTTTGCGATTATTCGACTAATCAGATCATCATCCATTGGACGTAAAACGTACAGCTTATTGCACCAGCAGCATCTGCTCTTATATAACTATCATTAGCTTACAGCTTTAAGTGTTTAAGGTCTGTGCTAACTAAAAATAAAGACAAGATGATAGTTTGTTTCAGTGAAGTTTAATAAACTTCTTGCTATCTAAAATATAACAGGACACCAGAGTAGATTCTCCAGCATCTCACACTTCTGATAATCAGCTGTCTGCTTGACGTTTATTCAGCTGTGTAAAAACTATAACTTTAATCTCAGCCAAACCGATTTACTCAGGAACAAATAAAATACTTAAAAAAAAAAGCCAAACAACAACATTTTTAAGTTATCTAAGTGACTCATATGTTTAACCTGAGTAGCGAAAGACGGCGGTGGGTTTGAAAACGATTTGCCGGGAGTCCGGTGTTCTCACGGCTCTAGTTAGCCTAGCCCCCGCCTAGCTAACGAGCTAGTGGGTAACAGACGTCTCCGAAAACGTCGGAGCGCTTTTGAAAATATGTGGTGTCTTGATAAACTGAGCAGATATTTGAGGTTTACACAGCTACATTCTCCCTGAAAATGTGTTAAACGTTTATTTTGTGACCCAGAAAGAATAATAAGAGTAATATTAAAACTAACTAGCTGCCGCCATTGTTGGAAACTGAGCTGGGCCGCGCTATGAATTCTGGGACACAGCTTCTTCTTTGGGGTTTAAGGGCAGCTGGCATCCTTGTACATGCAGTGCTGCCATCTTCTGTTTCAATCCGTTATTACACTCTTAAATCCTGCTACTTATTCCTGCGTCTTTTGTGATCTTACAAAGCTTCAAACGAGACATCGACTATTACATCAGTCGTCGACGATTTTGATAGTCGACGTAATCGTGACTAGTCGACTAATCGTGGCAGCCCTAGCGGTAATAAAAGCCGAGGGAGGTCAACAGTGATCACTGACTGTTTTAGGAGCTTTTTGAGATTAAATAGAAGAAAATACAAAACATTAAACATGTTAACAACACAAAAGCCATATTAAACGCAGACTACTTTAGGCCCGGAAGTAGGATTCGTCACGTCATCACTTAACGACCGGATAGTAGCATGAAACCCTGTGTAAGAGGGAAGGGGCGGAGCATGGACAGAGAGGTTAGGAGTCTCACGGTTTTCTGACCGTGTGCACAGGTAGTTCTGGATAACTGTTACATCTTCAGTTTGTAATAAATAGTCTTCAAATCATAATGCAACTGGAAGCATTTCTTTTGGAAACCAGGAACACGCGTCAGCCATAGACTCCCTCTAAAACATCAGTAGTAGTGAGCAAGCTTCTTTATTTTAACGTGGCTCACATCCATGCATGTAAATATAAGACAGTATATATCACAATTTGGTTTAGACAGCCCCCTAGTTGTGAAGCTGAACTAACCCACATAACTCCTATCAACACAATCTTATCTCTCTCTTATCTAAAAAAAAGTTTTTCCTAATTTTCAACCACAATCAGAATTTGCATTTTATTCTAATCATAAATCATCATCATAATCTGTCAGATTTGTACCACACGAAACAAATTTCATAACAAAATAATCGGTTTTAACAAAGCTGTGGACAGCTGGACGGTTTTCGCGCTCGCCTTTTTTGTTCCTGGTGGGCTCCCCTCTGTCTCCATGGTAACGCAGGCACCGCCATAGCGCGAGCGTTGTCTTGTTTTTGAGCAGTAGCAGTGCGGTGGGTCCAGAGAAACTGCTTTCTTCCACATTTAGCGATCAAACCTGACAAATGTGAGTTCACCGAAACTCTCCGCGCTCATGTTTGTTACCGAGAGCGCCGTGAACGCGCAGGAGGAGCTTCCGGTCGTTTGTTTCGTTGTAAAACGTCTGTAACGTTTCAGGCTTTTAAATGGTTTTATTAACGGCAGCATCTTCAGTTTAACAGGTAACTGCAGTTAAACTGTAATTGCCAAAACGGATTCATCAGGAATAAAAACGTTTCAGAGCTAACGACACAGAACGAGCTAAAGATGACAGAATAATGTGAAATAAATAAATACATTAAAGAAGTATTGTAAACAAGGAACCAGCCAGAATCCTTTAGAGGGAAACAAAAGAAAAGTAAATGAGATAGAATCAGAACAACAGACAGGGACATCACTCAAAGCTCAGAAACGGCCAGACTTTAATAACAGCGTTAGACTTCCTTCCATTAAATTGGTTTCTGAAGCACTCCAGATTGGTAAAAAGCACTGAGGACAAACCTGGAGCTGATGGGCGTGGCTGCAGACCCGATTTTAACAGGTGGAGAGGTTTAGGAGGAAAAGCGACAGAAACCTCTGAGATAATCCTGTGTGGTTGTAGTGTGCGTGGCTCTCTGATGGGGGTGGCTCCGGCAGCACCCTCGTGTCCACAAACGTAGAAGAGCTGAGCACAGGTTTCTGAAATGCTTGTGGACGAGCCGCGGTGCTTCTGGCAGCTGATTTTCTCTGAAACAGAAGATAACGCAAAGTTTTTCCTGTGTCCTGGTGAAACTTTAAGTCTCTGTGTTTTCCTCAGACACTCCCGAGGCTCCTCTGACTTCAGAAAAACACAATGCCGGTGAGTAACCTTAATCCATTACTTTTTGTCAGAGGACGGCAGGTGTGACGCCTCTTCAGCTCGACTGTGTTTGATGTTCAGTTGGTCTTCTTCTTCAGGTGTTGCCTGTTTGGAGGCTTGCAATCCCTCTACCTGCAGTGCTGATGATCACTGTGAGTCTGTACATGATCGTCCTAGGGATTGGGCTCTGGATCCGATACTGCCTCAAGGTTGGTGCTCTGTTCATGCTTCTTACAGACCAGAAAACTAAGAAATGGTTCCCTGTGAGGTACTTAGCTTTGGTTTGACCCTTGCAGGGACCCGTCTTTGCTCTATGGGCTGTGTTTTACCCACTGTGCTGTCAGCTTTAACTTATAATAAAATTCTCTGCTGGATTCATGCAGGTATAGGAAAATATACATGAAATGTTTCTATTGTAAAGCTGGCAGTTATCATTTTACAGCTTATGAACACTTTTATATCTCAGTAGTTCTCAGAAACATGCCTGTGTCTGCTTGAGCTGCAGTAGTTAACCCTGTGGGTTTATTCAGGTTGTGGCTGTGCAGGCAGGCATGCACTTTTACTGTTCCCCTGATTCTGAGAGATGCAGTTTATAAAGTGTAACACAGACGACTGGACTCTGGAGAAGATCATCCGACCCAGCTGTGGAAGGGTTATTTATTCAGCATTTAAAGAAGCTTGTATTTGAGGTTACAGCGTGACGTCCGGGGTCTAGCAGGATTCTGACTGAGGTCATGTGACAGATTTTTGCATTTCTGTGTGCCTTTAAGGACTACTGTTCTTTAGAGTGCAGTGAATGCTGTGCAGACCTCTCTGTGTGCGAGCAGTGCATCAGACTGGGTGAAATGTGCGACTGCCGCCTGCCGGCTGTGGGACCATTCCTGGCTGAATCCTGCTCTCCGGCTTCTGTAAGTAAACCAGCAGCACTGGCGGTCACACGAGCTCCGGCACAGAAACCATCAGCTCACGTTTGGAAACACTCTCCTCAATGTTGGTGTAAAATGTGATAAAACACTCAGACACATTCAAACAATGATGCTGATGAGGTGGGCAGAAGGTTCATTTTACAGTGAATAATTATATAAAATAAATCAATGATAGTCATTAAAAGCAGAGCGATTAAAAACTGACGTAAATAAAATGAAGCCTCACTGTTCCTGTTGTGGTCACATCAGGTGCCACTACCCCTAAACCAAATGAGATTACTGGAGACAAACCAGCAACCCTTCACTTTCTCAAACCACTTTGGAGACACTAATCCTGGTGATCTCAGATGTTATCAGTAATGACATGGTGTATTGATAATGTCTGTGAACTGGGAAGCCAGTGACCCCATTCACAGTGAGGTGAACATTTGCTGCAGAGCTGTGTGTCAGCTGTCGCCAGAAAGGAAAGGTTCCTCAGAGGGTGCTGGACCGCCCCACCGTGACTGACAAAGGTTTGCAGATCATGTAAATGTTAAACAACACTGCATTTTCCATATCATGCTGCAACCCACAAAGAATTTGAATCAGCAGGCTGTTAAACCCACAGCTGACCTCTGAACTCTGTGCTGCTGTAGAAAAAGCTGCTTCTTGTTGTTGCCTTATGTGAAGAAAGTGAGCTTACATATGATCAAGATTGTCAGCTGTGTTAGCTGATCAAAGTGTATCATTAATGCAAAATGTATAGTTTGGTTTGCATTAATAAAATCAGGAGGTATGCATCACCACACGCCTCATGATCTAAGTGTTATTGTCAGGGTTATAATGGTAAATTAAAATAATGAATGTGTGTGGGTAAAACAGCTTCCTGGCTGCAGGAGAAGTTCACCTGCTGGGACAGGTGAAGCTACACAAGCGTGCTTGTTGGTTTCTGCGGGTTCTTCAGGACACAGCAGGTGCTGCCGTTAAATCCTTGCCCAGAAAGTTAGTCTCCTGTCTGAGCTGCTGTGTTTTTCTTTCCTACAGTGCTCCAGGTGGGACTGTGCCTGTACCTGCCAGGTTCCTGACTGCGACACCTGCAACTGTTTATGCTTCGAGATCAGGATGAAGTAGGAGGCGAGGATGGAGGTGCTCATCCACCGAACTAATTTTATACTTGTTATAGCATTTACAGCGGAGATGGAGGTGGCTACACACAGAACCGGCCTTACACCTTCTCTTCTGAGTCATTCACTGACTTTTTCTCTTTGACTTTTTGAGACTGAACATTTTTCTTTCATTGCCAGAGAATGGGTTGCCTTGCCACTGATAGGCTAACCGGCAGCTGTATGCTGATATATTTCTTCTGTAAATGTGGCTCCATAATCACTATGGTTGGCTGGCCTTTTCTATACACTAATTTCCGCTAATTTAAGAGACTACCCACCACCACCATCACATATCCTCCTCTACATTTACTATAATTACTGCCTTTGGACCATCTGTGTGTTCATCTGAGTATCTGCATCGATCTTACTCGGATCACACAGAGCTGACTGAATGGGCAGGTTTTCGCTTCCTTCCTGATCAGGGTCCGCCCTTGGTGGATTGTGATAATGTCGACTGTAGGTCTCTAAAACGGTGCTATTATCCCTGAGCAGCGGGTCTTGGATTAAAAGCATCAACGCCAAAAGAGACCTTGTGCCTTATGAAACGGCCTGAGGTCACGCCGAGCTGATGTCTGTTTTGCTGAAAGTTCCTTCAGTACCTTGTTTTTGACGAATGGTTTATTAAATCCACATTTACACCACAGAAGCTTCTTTTGGTTTTATCTCCTCCCACTAAAACCTCCCTCCTCGGGAAGTAGCTACAAAGTTACAGCTGAGTTTGCACACAGTGCCATATGTACATGAGCATGTTCAGGGATTGTACTCCTGTTTATGTTTCCAGGACTACTGCAAACAGGAAGGATTTCCACGTCATCTCAAAGCAATAAAACAGACACATTTTGTGTTTACCCCACAATTTTTTTATTCTTTCATCCCTCATATCAAACATTTGTTTTCCACATGTAAATTCTTTATTTCATTTTATCTGTTTAGCAGATATTTGCTGACTTCTGCTCACTAACTAAGATTTGTAGTCAACCTCTCCATCAGGTGTTCCAGATGTTTGTGCTGATGATTCGTCCAGCAGAATGTATGATTTGATCCTCCACAGCTTCAACACTGAGCTTTCTTTAGATAACCTGTTAAGAATCAAGTCAAATTTTTGCAGGCACAGCTTTACGACTGAAAGTCTCAAGGTCGAGGCTTGTTCACATTCATTTGTGTCCGCGACATCATGTAAATCAGGTCAGACTCTCTACAGGAAGAGTTGGAGACAAAGGGAGAGGCTGAGGAGGTGGAAGATGGCAAATGTGTAGGCCTGAGCCGGACGACCCCCGCTGGTGTCAAACACACTATTTGAGTCATTTGTAGTGGTGGCCATAGTGGCGGTACAGGTGCTGCTGGTAGAGGTAGTGATGGGGGCATTGGTGGGGTTGGCAGTGGTGTTGGAAGCCGGAGCCAAGCGCATCTCAAGGGTCTCAGTCAGGAAGGAGTTAAAGGAGCTCACTCTGGTGAAGGTCATGACTGAGCTTCGTCTCCTCCTGGCAGAGGAGCTTGGAGCTGTTAACACGACCGCCTGGAACCAAGAGCCGCCCTGCTTACACATCAGTGGGCCGCCAGAATCACCCTGAACAAAGAGACGGGAAGGTTCAAATTTAAAATTCAGAATTATTTGGGTGCCAGGTTGTTCCCTCTAATAAAAAATGTAAAAAGGCTTAAAAATAACACAAAATAGAGAAGCTCTTTAAAATTAAATCTAATTGGCCCATAATGAAGACTGAAACTTCAAAGCTAGATCTGCTTTATGTTTGTACATGTTTCTAAAGATTGTAAGCACTCTGGAAACTCAAGATGATGAACTATCCAAATTCAACATGTGACTGTAATAAGCAGCTAAATCCAAATTAAACAACATGTCAGCAGACAGTGTTATAAGAAGAAGAATCCAGTCATTTACCTGCTGCAGTGCAAACATGTCTGTACAGATGCTCTCACTCGATGATGAGTTCCCACAGTTTACCACCGAGGTCTGAAACTGCTGCATAACTTCCTCAGCTAACATCATGAAAGATAAGAAAATCCTGATGTTTGACTAAAGAAACTGTAAGTGCAGTGGTCCACATGTGTAATCTGAGAGATGGACTGGTGCAGAGTCTGGGCAGAACTCTGTCAGCCTTCATGTTGCTGACTCACCTCCTCCTCTTCCAGGACTCCAACCGGCCGCCCAGCACGCCAAGCCCTCGGCGAAGGTTCTCCCGTTGTCCAAGCAGATGGGCTGGATGTAGTCGGTCAGGGTGGGCTGGGCAGATAGACGGAGGATGGCTATGTTGGTCCCGGTCGTGTTGCTCAGAGTGATATTTGTCACATTCAACGTCACCTCAAAGGTTGGACATGTCTGTCTGCTGTGGCTCATCCTGTGCTGTTCCACTGGCTGACAGTTGGTGGCAGTAAAACAAAGTAAATGTAGAAATGTGCCAACAAAGTCTGAGACACAAATTGTATAAAAGGATTGATTTTGATTGAAATAGACTAATATATAGTTTCCAACTGGTTACACATAATCTTTCTTTCTTGTTTTGAATTGTCTCCACAGACTTAACCTTATAGAAGAATATGCTTATTCTAGATACTTGTGAGACAGCACACTTGTTTCCTGCATTAAAGTGATTATTTCTCTAAAAATGAACGGGTGTCTTTATGACCCACCTCCACTTCCTATGTTGCCCCAGCCGGTGACCCAGCTGTTAACACCGCTGTAGAAGGTGCTGTCTGAAGCTGCCAGGCAGACGGGAGAAATGTAGCTGCTGAAAGTCACAGATGAGGAGAGCTGCAGGAGGCAGATGTCGCTGTCATCGGTATCAGAGTTGTAGTCTGGATGTTTGATAAGCTTTTAATAACATTTAGGTTAATGTTTGCATTAGCACCATAAAGTGACAAATCAACCGTTTGGTGGAGCACTTTAAAAAAAAAAATCAAACATTAAATTTCATTCATCTATCACATGTCAAAAAAATATGCCTTCCTAAAATGATTCTCAACCGTTTGGTTTAGCAGGTTGTTAAAGGGTTAAAGAGCCATACTCCCTTCTGCACAGTACCTTTGTCTCAGCAGGTTCTTTGGCTTGTTCTGGCCATCATGTGATCAGTGTATTTTTGGAAACTGTTATGTAAAAGATGATTTCCTGGAACAATGCTTTCATGTCTGTCGGCAAACTGGATCTACCAGTAAAAGATTAGAATCAGAATAAGGAACAGTTAAGCACAGGTGAGTTCACAGGTATGCAGAAGTGCAGATTCATGTTTGTAGTGCCAGGAGAGGCCCTGAGGATGAAACAATTCCACTGGTTAAAGGAGACGATAGATGATAAACAAATGAGGTCAACAGAGATTGTATGAGACGTTGTTTACATAAGTAGGTTATTAAAGGCTGCCAAAAAAAAGGTTATTAAAGTGCAAGTGAAGAGCCGGCGCTTGCACACGCGGAGTTTGACACACCTGAAACACACAGCAAGTTTATTGAGATGAAAAAGTAACAACAAAGAATGTAACATACATAAGCAAGTTTCTTAGTAAGAATAAACTTGTTACGGTTTTGTATGTTCACTCGTTTTAGGGGGTTAGTGAGGTAGAGGAGTGTTTATCTGGAATGGAACACAAGGAGGGAAACAAGACGCAAGGGCTCACACAACATATATAAACAGACACACAGGGCAAAGACACAAGAGGGAATCTAATAATCAAGTGAGAAAACTCACAATAAAATACCTAAGATCATAAATGAACCTGAACATAAGCTTCAGAGCCCTTGCTGCTCATGCCTGGTTCGAGCCTTGCTCTGAAACTATGCCTCCCCCGAGCCTGCCGGCAAATGTGGCCACACTGCCTCCAGCGACCCCGCCACCGTCATCCCCTCAAGGATGGAACTCATACCCGGGCCTCGCGAATCTCCCTGGGAATCTCCAAACCAGACACCCGGCAAGTCTTCAGGGTCCACCGCCTCACTTATGCCCATTGTTACGTTTCGGTGTTGTCAGTGTTTTGTTTTTTGCGTGACTGTCATGTATTTCCTGCTTTACTTTGAAAGTCTGTGTTATCTCAGTGTGTTCAGTTTACGTTTCCTTGTCTCGTCAGGTCTAATTTGCCCCAGCTGTGTTTCCCTCCTGTGGTCCATTCCCTGATTGCTCCTTCTATGTATTTAAGCCTTGTGTTTCAGTATGTCATGGTCGCGATCTCCCCCTGTGTTGTAAATAAATAGTTTGTTGTAAATAGCTGTGAATGGATTTGTCAATACTTTTGTTTTGGGATTTTGGTGGAGAGCCTTAGTGTTTTTTTTCTCGTGTGTCTTTTCCTTATTTTTATTTTCTTGCGTTGCACGCCGGTTGCCTAGGCCGGGGTGTAACACCATCGAGCAGATATTTCACGGCTGTAAATACTTGGAGATATGTGGATGTTACCAGTCATCATCGTTCCCCCAGTCAAGTACATTGAGAGAACACACCACTAGTATTTAATCAATCAATCAATCAATCAAAGCTTTATTCGCCACGTGCAGGTTGCACACACACAACACAGACATTACATGGGGATACAGGTCAGAGATCGGTAGCGTTACAGAAAAACACTGAAATATACACTACAATGGGAAAGTACAAGAGGAAAAAAGAGAGCTCTGCTCATGCTGGGCTCCTGGGAGGACAGCATGAGAACAGAAAACAAAAAAACTCCTCTGCACAAAGAAGCACATAAATGTCCACAGCACAACATTATGGAGCACGCGACCAGCCACAGGGTCGGGTGGGGGGTGAAGAGTAATCCGAAGCAAACACAGCAGCCATCCTGCCCAGCGCTACCATTCCAGCGCGGGCTCAGACTCGCCGTGTTCTCAGGAGGGAACAAGATTCGAAGGCATTTGGAAAGGGAGGGGGGATGAGTGTGTGCATATCACTGTATATGTATGTGTGTGTGTGTGTGTCCATAGTTCAGCTGAGACAGTGTCCTTCGCCCTGCCAGGCTAGGTAAAAACAGTCTTCCAGCCAACCCAGGTGGCCTTGCATGGAATGAGAAGGTACAGACTAAACAGTCGTTATCAGGGTGTTTTTGTTGGGCTCCAGCCTTGAGACTGCAGCTGGCGCCGAATGTATGGCACTTTTTCTATTTGTTCCAGAAATAAGCTCATGAAATTTAAAAAGGGAGATCACGTGAGATTGTCTCAAGTTAGAGGTGTGTTTGATAAACGCTATGAACAGACTTTCACGGATGAAATATTCACTATAGACCAATGCATACCTAGGGATCCTCCGGTTTGTAAAATCAAAGATTACGATGGGGAACTAATTATCTGTGGTTTTTACGAGCATGAGCCACAGAAAATCAATGTGGTTGTGGGTAAGCTGTATCATATAGAGAGCATTCTGACAAAACGTAAACAGAGGGGGCAAATGTATTTCCTGTCAAATGGGGAAACTGGCCTGAAAAGTTTAATAGCTGGATTAAAGCCAGTGACCTTAAAAACCTAAAATAAAAACCTTCCACCTCATTTCATGCTGGTGACATGACTCTCAGGTCTCAAGGCTTTTACGTAACACTACCTTCAAACGCTAGCCTAAATGTATTTAAAAATAACACGAGTAGCAGTTTCCGTGAGGATCTCGCCCAGTATCTCTATCTCGATGGGCCCTGGGAGGTGGCTGTCATTAAAATTTCCTATCCCTATACATGGTTCAATCTTCCAAATGATATGGCATACTTTGAATGGAGGAAAAAGAGTGATGCAGAGCAGAAGCCCGCTGATGTTGATAAGCAAAAAATATTTTTTTATGGTTTTTATGAGGATCCTAACATGCTGAGATCACAGATTGATGATGCCTGCCTTAGACGTATTGAATTTGATATTTTTCTCAAATATAACCCAATTCAGAAAAAGTCTGAATTTTCATCTGGTGGAATATATCATCTCAGAGTTTATCCCCCCCCTTGCATATATGCTTGGTGTCACACTAGGGGTCTGGTTAATTTTCGAGCGCAAGTTTGCCCTGTATCCCGCGGATATAACGGCTGGCTGTTACCATTTCTTTTGTTATTCTGACATTGTGACGCCATAGCTTGTTGGTGACATCTATTTGCTTCTGCTGCATGCTGTCAAAATACAGGGTACCTATGGAGATGTCGTTACACTGAGCTTTAACAAACCAGATTACATACCATTGGCTTGGAACCATATAGAAAATATTAATAATGAAATCAAAACGGATCAGAAGGAAACTGTGAACTTTACCTACAATAAAACAATAGTTAAGCTACATTTCCGGCCTATTGAGGATCTGTCGTAATTCATAAACAATATGGATAATAATAGATTCATAAAATATTATGAATTTCAGGCTGGTAATGGCATGCCCGGGTTCTCAGGTGCTCCGCTTATTTCTGGGTGCGGGTTAGCATCTATTTTTTCAAAATTCTTCCAATTTGTAACTCCTTTCGTAAAGCGGGGTCTCAGCTGCCAAGAACATACAGTGGCTTACAAAAGTATTCGGCCCCCTTGAACTTTCCCACATTTTGTCACATTACAGCCACAAACATGAATAAATTTTATTGGAATTCCACGTGAAAGACCAACACAAAGTGGTGCACACGTGAGAAGTGGAACGAAAATCATACATGATTCCAAACATTTTCTACAAATAAATAACTGCAAAGTGGGGTGTGTGTAATTATTCAGCCCCTTTGGTCTGAGTGCAGTCAGTTGCCCATAGACATTGCCTGATGAGTGCTAATGACTAAATAAAGTGCACCTGTGTGTAATCTAATGTCAGTACAAATACAGCTGCTCTGTGACGGCTCAGAGGTTGTCTAAGAGAATATTGGGAGCAACAACACCATGAAGTCCAAAGAACACACCAGACAGGTCAGGGATAAAGTTATTGAGAAATTTAAGGCAGGCTTAGGCTACAAAAAGATTTCCCAAGCCTTGAACATCCACGATGGAGTGCCCATGTTAGCATGTACATGGTCTGTAATTCTGGCCCTGAGAAAGGCCCTGAGACGGACTTGACAGCCACTTCTAATTGTGATGATAATTCATCAAGTAGAATTTCACGTCCAATTTGATCCTCCACAGCTTCACCACTGAACTCTTAGATAACCAGTTACAAATAAACTCAAAGATTAGCAGACAAAGTTTTAAGCCTGTAAAGTCTCAAAGTCAAGCTTGTTCACATTCATCTGTGTCCATCACATCATGTGAATCAAGTTTGGGTTCTCTAAAGGCAGAGCTGGAGGCAAAAGGCGAGGCTGAGGAGATGGATGAAGACAAAGATGAAGGAGTGAGCAGGACGACCCTCGCTGCTGTCAAACAAACAATTCGAGCGAGTTGTGGTGGCCATGGTGGTGGTGGTGACGGAGACATTGGTGGGGTTAGTGATGGTGGTGTTGGAGGCTGGAGACAAGAGTGTCCCCAGCGTCTTCGTCAGGAAGGAGTCAAAGGAGCTCACTCTGGTGAAGGTCATAACTGGAGCTTCTCGTCTCCTCCTGGCAGAGGAGCTTGGAGCTGTTAACACGACCGCCTGGAACCAAGAGCCGCCCTGCTTACACATCAGCGGGCCGCCAGAATCACCCTGAACAAAGAGACGGGAATTCAATTTAAAATCAGAAAATCATATCTAATATTATTTGGTTGCCATGTTTTTCCCTCTAATAATGTTTTTTAAAGGTTTAAAACAAAGATACAGAGACACTCTTAAATTAAATCTAACTGGCCAAAAATGAAAACTGAAATTTCAGAGCTGGAACTTCTTACATGTTTCTGAAGATTGTAAGCACTCTGGAAACTCAAGATGATGAACTATCCAAATTCAACATGTGACTGTAATAAGCAGCTAAATCCAAATTAAACAACATGTCAGCAGACAGTGTTATAAGAAGAAGAATCCAGTCATTTACCTGCTGCAGTGCAAACACGTCTGTACAGATGCTCTCACTCGATGATGAGTTCCCACAGTTTACCACCGAGGTCTGAAACTGCTGCATAACTTCCTCAGCTAACATCATGAAAGATAAGAAAATCCTGATGTTTGACTAAAGAAACTGTAAGTGCAGTGGTCCACATGTGTAATCTGAGAGATGGACTGGTGCAGAGTCTGGGCAGAACTCTGTCAGCCTTCATGTTGCTGACTCACCTCCTCCTCTTCCAGGACTCCAACCGGCCGCCCAGCACGCCAAGCCCTCGGCGAAGGTTCTCCCGTTGTCCAAGCAGATGGGCTGGATGTAGTCGGTCAGGGTGGGCTGGGCAGATAGACGGAGGATGGCTATGTTGGTCCCGGTCGTGTTGCTCAGAGTGATATTTGTCACATTCAGCGTCACCTCAAAGGGGTTGGATCCATTTAGCTTCAGACGCCCCAACACGACAGTCCACTCGGACGCTACAGGGGAGCTGTGGGAGGAACGAAGCACACAAACATAAACTTCATCAGCTTCAAACAAAATCTACACCTTTACACTCAACTTCATGGGACCCAAGTTTTACAGATTTGAACCTGGTGACATTCAGGCCTGGTTCTAATTAAAGAGGTATATATTTAACTTCATGAACTCCATGCAGAGCAGAGCAGCATCCATGACCACAGGTGTGACATTACCTCAAGAACAAGGCTGGGAGGGGTTAAAGTGTGGCTTGCCGATCCACCGTAACCACTGGCAAAACACCGGTTAGACATAGTTTGTTTGAGAAAGAAGTCTCCAGAAAATGCTGCCATGAAATGGACCACAACACGCTGAATCAGTTGTAAGAATGAGGACATGTTCAGTTTTAAAAAGATTTACGCCATATATATATATATATATATATATATATATATATATATATATATATATATATATATATAAAAAACACCCAGCACGCCCCTGCGGGCGGTTTATCCTTCAAGCTCGGGTCCTCTACCAGAGGCCTGGGAGCTTGAGGGTCCTGCGCAGTATCTTAGCTGTTCCCAGGACTGCGCTCTTCTGGACAGAGATCTCCGATGTTTTTCCCGGGATCTGCTGGAGCCACTCGCCTAGCTTGGGAGTCACCGCACCTAGTGCTCCGATTACCACGGGGACCACCGTTACCTTCACCCTCCACATCCTCTCGAGCTCTTCTCTGAGCCCTTGGTATTTCTCCAGCTTCTCGTGTTCCTTCTTCCTGATATTGCTGCCATTGGGAACCGCTACATCGATCACTACGGCTGTCTTCTTCTGTTTGTCTATATATATATATATATATATATATATATATATATATATATATATATATATATATATATCCATAGGTCCCTCATCCTATTCATGTAGCCCCTTCCGCCGGGGTTAGTTGGACAGCACCAGGGCCCGACATGGTTCATGCCTACTGGCTGAAGAAGCTGACTGCACTCCACGAGCGTCTGGCAGCACAAATGAACCAGCTGCTAGTTAACGAGAGACACCCGGAATGGCTGCCTGGATTGATTACAAGAAGGCCTATGACTCAATGCCCCACAGCTGGATACTGGAATGCCTAGAATTGTACAAGATCAATGGGACCCTAAGAGCCTTCATCAGGAACTCAATGGGGATGTGGCGTACAACACTAGAGGCCAACTCCAAGCCCATAGCACAAGTCACCATCAAGTGTGGGACCTACCAAGGAGATGCTCTGTCCCCACTGTTGTTCTGCATAGGCCTGAACCCCCTCAGTGAGATCATTAACAAGACTGGCTACGGATACCGACTACGGAACGGAGCAGTTGTCAGCCACCTCCTGTACATGGATGACATCAAGCTGTATGCCAAGAGTGAACGAGACATCGATTCACTGATCCACACTACCAGGCTATACAGCAATGACATTGGAATGTCGTTCGGACTGGAGAAGTGTAGTCGGATGGTAACAAAGAGAGGGAAGGTAGTCAGAACTGAGGGGATTGAACTACCAGAAGGCAACATTGCAGACATAGAGGACAGTTACAAGTACCTGGGGATCCCGCAGGCAAATGGGAACCATGAAGAGGCCGCTAGAAAGGCTGCAACCACCAAGTACCTGCAGAGGGTCAGGCAAGTCCTGAGGAGTCAGCTGAATGGTAAGAACAAGATCCGGGCCATCAACACGTACGCCCTGCCCGTGATCAGGTACCCTGCTGGGGTAATAGGCTGGCCAAAGGAGGAGATAGAAGCCACTGACATAAAGACAAGAAAGCTCTTTACCATGCATGGAGGGTTTCACCCCAAGTCCAGCACCCTGAGGCTGTACGCTAAGCGGAAGGAAGGGGGCCGGGGACTGGTGAGTGTCAGCACCACAGTCCAGGATGAGACAACGAACATCCAAGAATACATTGGGAAGATGGCCCCAACTGACCGAGTGCTCAGTGAATACCTCAGGCAGCAGAAACCCAAGAAAGAGGAGGGAAACGAGGAACCATCATGGAAGGACAGGCCCCTGCACGGTATGTACCACCGGCAGATAGAGGAGGTGGCTGATATCCAGAAATCCTACCAGTGGCTGGACAAAGCTGGACTGAAAGACAGCACAGAGGCACTAATCATGGCAGCACAAGAACAAGCTCTGAGCACAAGATCCATAGAGGCTGGGGTCTATCACACCAGGCAAGACCCCAGGTGCAGGCTGTGTAAAGATGCCCCAGAGACAATCCAGCACATAACAGCAGGGTGCAAGATGCTAGCAGGCAAGGCATACATGGAACGCCATAACCAAGTGGCCGGCATAGTGTACAGGAACATCTGTGCCGAGTATAACCTGGAAGTCCCGAGGTCAAAATGGGAGATGCCCCCAAGGGTGGTGAAGAATGACCGAGCTAAGATCCTGTGGGACTTCCAGATACAGACGGACAAAATGGTGGTGGCTAACCAACCGGACATAGTGGTGGTAGACAAACAGAAGAAGACGGCCGTAGTGATCGATGTAGCGGTTCCGAATGACAGCAACATCAGGAAGAAGGAACACGAGAAGCTGGAGAAATACCAAGGGCTCAGAGAAGAGCTCGAGAGGATGTGGAGGGTGAAGGTAACGGTGGTCCCCGTGGTAATCGGAGCACTAGGTGCGGTGACTCCCAAGCTAGGCGAGTGGCTCCAGCAGATCCCGGGAACAACATCGGAGATCTCTGTCCAGAAGAGCGCAGTCCTGGGAACAGCTAAGATGCTGCGCAGGACCCTCAAGCTCCCAGGCCTCTGGTAGAGGACCCGAGCTTGAAGGATAAACCGCCCGCAGGGGTGTGCTGGGTGTTTTTTTTTTTTTATATATATACATATTAAATAAAATCTGTTGAATTAGATTTTGAATAAGTAAATGAGTCTACTGCTCACTATGAGCTCTATCAATCAATAGCATCATGAAAAATGTCTAATCCCCAGCAGATCTTTAAAAATTTTAACCAACATCCCACCAAAGTGTGTAATAGACACGTGCAGAAGCTGCAGTACTACCAGGGAGAGCACTGCCAAAAAGAGAAAAGTTATGAGCAACCAAGGAAGGTGTGTAGCTAGGTGGCTAATATGTATTTACATGTAAATGTGTCTGTTTAAATCCTTTCCTGTAATTATTTTCATGCTGGCTTGAAACAGCTTAGTGCGCTCATGGCTCAAAGAGTTGGCAGTTCGTCTTCTAACCAGTCTGCCCCAGGGCAGCTGTGGCTACAACTGTAGCTGCCTCCACCAGTGTGTGAATGTGAGAGTGAATGAATAGTGGCATTGTAAAGCGCTTTGGGTGCCTTGAAAAGTGCTATATAAATCCAATCCATTATTATTATTATTATTATTAGTGCAACTTCTTAATGTGTGTCCTATTACACGCCTCACCAAGATACTGGGGTCATCTTTTATAAATGTACACTATGGTACCTAAACCATCTATGCAGTTTAAAGAATTAAATTACCAGGAAATGAAGTACACCACAGAAAAAAAATGTGGCCTATTAGGGCCAGAGTGCCATCATGACTGAAAAATCTAAATAGCCTTCAGATTTACTGAATATTTCCTAGTCCGAGGCAAATTAACTGTATGATCATCCGGCCAAACTACAGCTCCAACTCACCTTGAGAAACAGCTGGCGTCACTCAGCACAGAGTCCAAGGCTACCAGAGTCCCACCACACACGTGATTTCCATTTTTCTGCAGGCTCGCCATCCACGGCCACGAGCCCACTGACGCAAGCAAGGTTCCCCCGAAAATGTGTGAATTCCTCGGAGCTTGTCCACAGACTACAGCTGAGGACAAAACCAGAGGCAAACACAAAGAAATCTTAAAAACTTTAACCACATGAACCCATCAGTTCAAGTTCATGTAGTGTATAATGGACTCAAGGTTAGAATGTTTTCTTTAATAAAGTATTGTCATGATGGGTCCTCACGTTGGGCAGTGGTCAGATGCAGCGTGGTTGTTGGAAGTATTGTATTTGTAGGTGTGGCGGGGGTTGCTGGGGGGGTTGTGGTTGTTGGATGATTGGTGGTTGTTGGAAGTGTGGGGGTTGTAGTGGTGGTGTTAGTAGGTGTGGTGGTTGGCACTGGTGTCAGTCCTGTGCAGGAGACACTGAGGTCACTGTTGGTCCCAGTGGACGTGAACGTCATGAAGCCCGGCTGGTTGGAGGAGATCTGGCTGTTGATCCAAGTCTGGTACTGGGATACTCTGGCGTAGACTCCTGGAAAATTAGGCAAGGCGCAACCTTCCCCAAAACTGACGACTCCCGCCTGAATCCAGCGACCGCTCTGCTTGATCACCATTGGACCTCCTGAATCCCCCTTTGAGAGCAGAAACATTTACTGTTAGCTGAGGAGAAGAAACTGTAGAAGGTGAAAATGTGCCAAACACAGGTAACAACAATCACCTGACAGGAGTCCTTTCCTCCTGCACTTAACCCGGCACAGATCATGTTGTCAGTGATTGATCCCACTCCATAGTTACAGTTACATTGCCTGTTTCCCACAACAGGAACCTCCACCTCCATCAGGTTTTGTGGAGAAGGAAGGGGCACTGAAGGGGTAAAAAAACAAAATCTGTTTAATAAACAGCGTGTGACAGATTAAAGGTAGAAACCTGAACAGTAAACAAAGCATCGTTCCACTTCCAGGCATTTATTCTGGTGGTGAATAAGTTTTAACTCAAAGGATTTCCAACTTTCAGTGGTCACATGACAGAAAGCTGTATATATTGAACCACCAGACAAATCTGATTAAATGTAAAAAAAAAAAAAGAGGCACAATCAGTTTTTAAAAGTGTTTTTGACGTTCTGTTCGTATCTCTATCTTTGATGCTTCAGACATTTCCCAAATAATTCAGTCCATGTTTCTTTTAGTGTTTATAAAGTCTGTTTCCCCTCCACGCGCACAGGTTTATCATCAAAAATGAAACTGCATGAGACCAGTTTCTTTTTTACAAACATTTCCTTTGAGGTTGGCTCAGAAACTTGGTGAATTTTTGACTTTTCGAGGACAGTGACGTCATCAGCGAGAGACCGGTGACCAGCATCGCGGAGCATGACGTCCGAGCGGCACTGAGGAGAGTGAACACAAGGAAAGCGGCGGGGCCAGACGGCATCACCGGCCATCTGCTGCGCTGCTGTGCTGACCAGCTAGCAGGTGTGTTCACTTACATCTTCAACGAGTCCCTGGCGAAGTCTGTGGTCCCCACATGCTTCAAAAGATCCACCATCATCCCTGTGCCCAAGAACAGCAAACCCTCATCCCTGAACGATTACCGGCCAGTTGCACTGACCTCGGTAGTAATGAAGGTGTTTGAGAGGCTGCTGAAGAACATCATCTCCTCCTCCATCCCAGACACCACAGATCCGCTGCAGTTCGCCTACAGATCCAACAGATCCACAGAGGATGCCATCGCCCACGTCCTACACACCACTCTCAGCCACGTGGACAAGAAACAGGGTAACTATGTGCGAATGCTGTTTGTTGATTACAGTTCAGCGTTTAACACAATAGTGCCCTGCAGACTGTTCACAAAGCTGAGGGATCTGGGACTTAACAGCCGTCTGTGTGCATGGGTGTTGGACTTCCTCACTGGCAGAACTCAGGTGGTGAGGGTGGGCAGGTGCTTCTCCAACAGCATCACCATCAACACAGGAGCACCTCAGGGATGTGTCCTCTCGCCACTGCTCTACTCCCTCTACACTTCAGACTGTGTGGCCACCCACGGCTCCAACACCATTGTGAAGTTTGCTGACGACACAGTGGTGTTGGGTGCCATCTCCAACAACGATGAGACGGCCTACATGGATGAAGGGAAGAATCTGGCATCGTGGTGCCAGGACAACCACCTCCAGCTGAACGTCAGCAAGACCAAGGAGCTGGTGGTGGACTTCAGAAGGGGTCAGCACAGAGACTACAAGCCCATTATCATCAATGGAGCTCCAGTGGAGAGGGTGCAGTCCTTCAAGTATCTTGGTGTCCACATCTCCTCAGACCTGACATGGGCTGCCCACATTCAGGTCCAGACCAAAAAGGCTAGGCAGCGCCTGTATCACCTACGACAACTGAGGAAGTTCAGGGTCTCTCCAAAGATCCTCAGGATTTTCTATACAGGCGCTGTGGAGAGCATCCTCACACAGAACATGACATCGTGGTTCGGGAACAGCTGTGTGAAGGACCAAAAAGCTCTCCAGAGAGTGATCCGTACAGCAGAGCGCTGCTGCAGGATTGCTCTCCCCCCGCTTCAGGACACCTACACCAGGAGATGCCGGACTAGAGCAGCGCAGATACTGAAGGACCCGTCCCATCCTGGCAACAAACTGTTCCAACTCCTGCAATCTGGTAGAAGGTTCCGCATCTTCCGGGCAAGGACAGAGAGACTCAAGAGGAGCTTCTATCCCCAAGCCATCCGTGCCCTAAACACACACACCCGCCCTCTCACATTATCTATAACTGACTGAGACAGGACTCTTCCAGACACTAAACCAAGGCACAATGTACATTTCAATTCCTTTAATTTTAAATATGTTTATATTGTCTATCCTGTAAAATAGTCAGATGTCTATTCATATTAATGTACAGAATTCACCTGCTTGCTGCTACTACTGCACATGCACAATGTATATATATATATATATATATATATATATACATTCTTCCTCTACACCCCCCCCTAAAGTTTTTGCACATGTCGAGATGCGTGTCAGGCTACATTTCACTGTGTGTTATACTTGTATAACTATGCATGTGTCAAATAAAGAACCTTGAACCTTGAATAAATTCATAAATCATAGTTTCTGAAACATTTAGGCTTCTCTTCAGCAACAGAATCATAAAATAAGCAGACAAAGGCTCCTTTATGGATACTTTGGAGAAGCTGTTTGTTTCCTGTCATCCTCAGACAATATTAATCTGTTCTAACCAGTGACCCACCTCCCCTTCCTATATCGCCCCAGCCGGTGACCCAGCTGTTAACACCGCTGTAGAAGATGCTGTCTGAAGCTGCCAGGCAGACGGGAGAAATGTAGCTGCTGAAATTCACCGGTGAGGAGAGCTGCAGGAGGCAGATGTCGTTGTCGTTGGTACCAGAGTTGTAGTTTGGATGTTTGATGATCTGTGTTACTGTCCGAGACGCTGCATTGGGATTAGATCCCTGTAGACTCTGAAGGCCCAGATTCACAGTCAGACCGGTTGGAGTACTGCTGAGATCATCAGGAGCGACACGAACAGTGCACAGTTGTTACAATTGTTATAGACGAGAAAACATATATAAAGTTTGACTTCCTGCCCTGTTAAATATTTATCCTGTTACCACCCTCAGCCCCCAGATTAGGACCCTCCATAATTTCCTTAAATCATGTTTAGAGTGCAGCTTCAGCCTCATCACTCACCTTCTAAAGCAGTGAGCAGCAGTCAGCACCCACTGACTGTTAATGAGGGATCCTCCACAGAAGTGGGACCCAAATCTTTGCAGACTGACCTGCCAGGGCCAGCTGCCAACAGGGGCCACCTGTCCTCCTACAATCCTGGTGTTCAGAGACGCCTTACCACAAACTGAAGACCGACATTAAAACACAGAGTGAGCATTACTGTAGGAGCTGTAAACTCTCAGCACTACAAACTGCTGAGTGAGGACACAGTGATCCTGGAGTCTACAGTTCACTCACAAACTAATATTCATATGAAACTAAAGATTTATTAAACATAAAACTAAATCATTACACAAAGAAGCTTTTTCTTACCATCCAGCTGTGACTCAGACTCTGAAACACAGAAAACAAACCATTTTAAAACAAAAGATCTCCATTCATTGTTCTGTGATTAGTTCACTGTCGTTAATAATAGTGGGAAAGTTGATTGTCTGTGGTTAGCTATAAGCATCCAGCAGAAGCTCCAGTAGTGGCTGTAGCAGTGAGTCAGTCCCCATGTTGGAGAATTTTAATGACATCATCTGACCAATAGCACGGCTGCTGTGAGGCGACTCTACTAACAGACCCTTTAAAATCTTGATTATGTGACCAGCTTTGTTTATGCTGCCACCTGTTAATTAATTGAATGTATTTTGGGAAATTTTCAACTTGTATACATATTCATATATATTTATATGTACTGTATGTGTTGTTTACTCCATTAGTTTTACATTTGTGGTATTTCTTCATTAACAGACGGATGACGGCACCCACTGGACTCCATTCCAATAATTCCAACTAATCATTGACCGAGCAAAGCAGTCAATGACGCCAGTGGGCAGCTTCATCCATCTGTTAAACGCAATCTTTGTAGGTATGTCTGTGAATGTTCTCAGTCATCCAGGTCATCATAGTCTAAGGAGCTTAGAAAGAAAAGCGTCTGGACTTCTTTGAGTTGCTTGAAGACGTTTCACCTTCATCCGAGAAGCTTCTTCAGTTCTAAGGTCAAATGGTGGAGAGTCCCAGATTTAAACCCAGTGGGAGTAACCCCCCACAGAGGGACAAAGGACCCCCTGATGATCCTCTACCAGTTGGAGCGTCCCCAGACGCCTTAACGCCCACTCACATCCTGGGCCATCTGACCTCAGGAAATCACATGATAGGGTGGGGCCAGGTTTCACAATGAGCTCACCCGAAACCCTGGCTGATTGGGACCCACACCCGTTTTTACACCTTAACTCATGTGATTAGGTAGAGGATCATCAGGGGGTCCTTTGTCCCTCTTTGGGGGGAAACTCCCACTGGGTTTAAATCTGGGACTCTCCACCATTTGACCCTAGAACTGAAGAAGCTTCTCGGATGAAGGTGAAACGTCTTCAAGCAACTTAAAGAAGTCCAGACGCTTTTCTTTCTAAGCTCCTTAGACTATCTTTGTAGGTAGTTTGTGTGTGTGTGTGTGTGTGTGTGTGTGTGTGTGTGTGTGTGTGTGTGTGTTGGTCTGGGCTGCACACACAGTATTTTCATCTTCCACCCTCCATCATTTCATAGAAAAGGTCTTTCCTCACCGTAGTTTGGACACAAATGATGCGGCACCTTCTCAGAATCTAACGCACTTCCTGCACTGAGCTATGATGAATGAAACCTGTTATCACATCTTTAACTGTTAAAGATGTTATCACATCTTTAACTGGCACGACAAACTGCTGCGCATCGCCGTCACACTTTTCATTTAAAAAACATCTCCAAAGCTCAGAGATCAAACATCCTTTTGAAACGTCTCAGTCGGTTAAGCTGCAGCTAATAATCCCATGAATGACTGAATTAAAGAAATAAGACAGCCAGCTTTCCCCTTAAATATATTTCCAATTAAATATTAAAGACACACATTTTTTAAATTTTAACTAAAGTGATACAACATTTCAGTCCACATTGTGCAGACTGAGATATGATCATGAAAGCAGATCTAAAATATTTACTAAATCTGACACTCGACACTTAATGTCACTAAATAATGACGGGGTAGCTTTAATTTTATTGAAAAATATTTATAAAATAAACTTTTATTGTTGGAGGAAATTAAAAATAATCCTCTCTGTTTCTTTTTTCAGATGCCATTAGTGTGATTCATGTAGTGAAGACAGCAGCTGCAGAAAGCGGTCATACGCACAGAGAGCAGTTTTAAAGTTATAAACAACCATCAAATAATCATTAATAAACATAAAGATTCAAACCTCTCATGAAGAAACTTTTATGAGAGGTTTGAATCACAGCCAAGTTTGAATGAAGCTTTATTGACCAGGACAGAAAGTAAAACTGCTACTGAAGAATCAGGAGAACATTTTTAAATAAAACATGTATTATATATGACATTTATATTATTATATCATGTGATCATGAGCTCTGAAACACGATATATGTACATGTACTGGAACTCAGTTATTGATCTGAAATGTTTAAGCTTAATCAGGTTAAGGTGATATCCTCCTTTGTCACACGTTTAGATCCTCATGAATAAATGATGTGTGTCAATCAAAGCTGACTGAATAAACCAACAAAAGTTAAGGTGAAATAAAGAAGTTAAAACCTCTCAGCTGCTTCCAAACCAAACAGATCATCACGTTTATCTGTGAACCTAAAATAAACCACCAGTCCTCCTTTTCCTGCAGTGTCACTTTAAAGTGAAGCGCTGTGCTCCTGAGTGTTTTCGCCCTCTGAGTCGTACCTGCTGCAGGTGTGTGCAGAGAGCTCTTACCTTGGGTCAGGAGCATCAGCCCAGCAGCCAAACACATCACTTTGTAGAAAGCCATCGCTGTAAGATCCATACCTCCAGACCTGCTGAGGCATAAATAACCTTCCTCTCTCCTCCTCCTCTCTGTCTGCGGTGCATCCCACACCAACACCTGTCTGACGACACGCCCAACATTGCAGCTCACCTGATTTTCCTCACATCAGACACAGTGGAAAAGCAAAGAAGCCAATGTGGGCGACGTGAGAGGGGTGACTCGGAATAAGAGGAATCATGATTTCACTCCAACAAAAAAACACACAATATTTTCTATTCCCGGTAACCTGATGGACCTCCTGCGTAGAGTTACGCACGGATTTATTCTTGGGTCAGAAACTATGGTCAGCACCTGAGTTTCTCCAGTGTCTGCGTGGCAGCCTTAATGCATTTTATCTGCATCCCCTGATTTCCTGAAGTCATTTTGCTTCAGCTGATCTTGAGAAGCTCAGTACTATTCAGCAGCACAATCAGAAATACGATGTAAGCTAGCTGTTCATCAGTGTACCAAAATTTTTGCTCATTAAATCAGGCTTTTGGCACAACTGAGGCTCTTTCAGGATTTTAAGATAACGTATCAATGTTTAGAAAAGGAGTATTAAAAGTTGTGTTAGCTGGACTCTCAACACTGATGCTGTTTTAGACTGACATGTGAATAAAAGCTGTAATTGGTAACTCTACATTGCTCATAGATGTGAGTGTGACTGGTTGTCTGTCTCTATGTGTTAGTCCTGCAACAGCCTGCGACCTGTCCAGGTGTACCATGGAGCCCTGGGATAGGCCCCTGTCACCCTGAAAAGGATAAGATGGATGGAACATAAGCGTGTCCTCTACTTCTAAGAGGAAAAAAAAGAGGTGGACCAAGATTGGACTCTTGAGGGACCCCGCATGTGAGCAAAGTCACTGGTCATAAACCCATAAACTATAAACCTGTTGTCTTCTTCCTCCTGCTCCCTTTAGAGGTCACCACAGCAGATCATCTGCCTCCACCTCCTCCTGTCCTCCTATCCCAGCATCATCCTCTGTCACTCCACCCCGCCACATGTCCTCCTTCACTACATCCAAGATTCTTCGCTCACGTCTATCTCTTCTCCTCCTGCCTGGCAGCTCCATCTTCATCGTCCTCTGTCCGGTATATCCCCCCTCCCTCCTCCTCTCAGATCATCTCAGCCTCTCTGACTCCCCCCTCCATGAGACATTTCATTTTGTGTCCTTTACAGTCCCAGATCACTATGAGACCTTCAGCTGACATGTACAGGAAGAACAATGGCAGAACATCAGCAGGTGAATCTCACCTGTCAACATTCCTGTGTAATGACATTAGTCTGATACTAATCTGTCACTCAGTGAACACCAACCTCACAGACATCTTTCACACACTGTGGCGCGTGCAGGTTTTTTCCCTGATGCTTCAGATAATAAAGATTCAGATTTCTTTCCAAATTTGCACAGCGGAGGAATTTGAACGATACTTTATTTTATCTAAAATCAGGTCTGAACACATCCACTCGCACAGTCTTTAACTACGTCACTCACGGAGAGAGTCCCTAAAATAGCCTCCAGGTTAATCCCGGGGCGCTCGTGTTAAAGTTAGTGTGAGAAACAACAGTCAAAAAAAATTCGGCATACACTCACCCTCTCATTCCAGTGAGCTACCCCGGGGCGATCGTGGCTCAAGAGTTGGGAGTTCGCCTTGTAATCGGAAGGTTGCCGGTTCGAGCCCCGGCTTGGACAGTCTCGGTCGTTGTGTCCTTGGGCAAGACACTTCACCCGTTGCCTACTGGTGGTGGTCAGAGGGCCCGGTGGCGCCAGTGTCCGGCAGCCTCGCCTCTGTCAGTGCGCCCCAGGGTGGCTGTGGCTACAATGTAGCTGCCATCACCAGTGTGTGAATGGGTGGATGATTGGATATGTAAAGCGCTTTGGGGTCCTTAGGGACTAGAAAAGCGCTATACAAATACAGGCCATTTACCATTTGCTCACCCACTGTGCTCTTCCACATGTGCTCTGCCCTCTTATCATCTTTTCTTTTTTCCTACCTCCGGTGGTGTCTGAGAGAAAAGGTGAGGAAGCACTTGAACTCATCCTTTTTTCTCATGGAGTAGATTTTGCGATAGAGCTTTTTCTCAGCAGCTTCTTTGGTTTGTTCTGGATGGAGACAGATCATGTGATAGGTGTAATTGATAAGGCCAAACAGTTCAGGGGCTGATCGTGTAGCCAGCGGTGGCGATGAAGCTGGTCCAAATGCCAACTTTGTGGGATGCAGCCGCATGTACATAACTGCAGACCATCGGGCAGTTTTGCAGGGCCCAGTGTACGGGGCTTGGCAGAGGCAGGACCGGGCGGTTCACTGACCTGTGGGGGAATGGCAGCCACAGGCGGTGGAGCTGGTGATGGTGGAACTGCAGGCGACGATGTGGAAACTGTTGATGGTAGAGTAGGAGGTGGTTGAACGGACTCAGAGCCAATAGCGGACACAAGGTTGTGCTGGAGCACACCTGAACTGAAAGATGTGAACAAACACTGGGCTTGCGCTGAACTGCTCTGTGATTGGAAGTCTGTGATCGGACCTTGGAGTGTCCATCCTAAGCAGGTTTTGACCACAGCAGGAGAGCCATATGGACCATGGCTAACTGGTGCAGTAGGCGTGATGAGGCGAGTATGATCTGAGCCTATGAGCAGTAGTCGAGCTGCTTTGTTAACAGCTGATAATGAGATGCCTTGAAGATGTTTGTAATTCCTTTGGAGAGAGAATACGGGTGTTTCTCTGGGTGTGCAGTGGAAGAGATCCTGAAACTTACAGAAAAAATCTGAATAGTTTCAACATGTTGACGGACAGGTCTAAGTGACAAATTCTCAGCTTTCCCAGTTAGGTGGCTGAGCTGCTGATGTCAGAAGCATGGTACGTTGGGAGCCATCATCAAATACTGCATATGTCATATGCCATTACACAGGAGCACTTTCACAACTTTTAATAGTACAGTAGGACAGTCAACAGTATATCAAAATACAACGTCCTCACTACAGGATTAATTTCAGTTCTAGGTCTCTGATTTACCTCACACAGGATCTGTAGATGTCGTCCCATGCAGGTGACACATGCTTTCCTCAGATCACACTTTGCAGCCTGATGAGTCCTAGCACAATGCCAAAACCGTTTGTTCCTCTTTACCCGGTTTATTTTCTCATCCTTTGTCTTGTGAATAAACTCAGGACACTTACTGATGCGGTGTTCAGGTGAGCAGCAGCACATGTAGCCTTAATCATTAGGATGGGTTGTGCTGCCTGTACAGGATCATCAGATGTATTTGCCCCATGTAATATTGTTGCAAGTGGAGAGGTGTACTTACAGGCAGCTCGTGGCTGGCTGAAGGACGAAACAGGACTGTCCTTTCTTGGTTGACACCTGCACTCCATTTGCAACCACGATAAGAAAGGTAAGTTATACGTCATTTCTCCTTGTTTCCTATAAACATGCCGTTTAAAGTGACTACAATGCTCTGCAGGCAACTGTTCAAGCAGGCGATCAACATAGGAGCCACAATTTAGTTCTGTCCGTCCTTGATCACCCGTGGTGCTAAGCAAACCAACTAGAGCTTGTACACGAAGACCAAAGTTATTTATTTCGAAGTTATTTCGGATTTCATCTTCTCCGGTTGCTGCTTTACAGGAGGGTGCTGCCTTTGTTCAGGAATGCAAATGAGAGGTTGAGCGGGGTCTTCATCTAGAGCACATGTGTCAAACTCAAGGCTCGTGGGCAACACACGGCCCGGCATTGTCATGGTCTGGTTGGGCACCTGCAGGTCTCAGACAGCGGCTCCTCCTCCTTTAGGCGGAGTCCGGTTGCCCCTCCCTGGCTGACCACCTGTGAGCAATCGTGCCAGCGGTATATCAGACCTGCGCTCTCAACCACTCATCGCCTGAGTATCTGCTATTCCCATGTTAGTTCAGTGGAGCATCCTAAACCTTGTCTTAACGCCGTGTGATGACTGACCTGTCTTTTCTTGTCCTCAGCGATAGCACCCGGAGTGGAGATCTTGTTCCCCTCGCTCCCGTCCTCCTGGACCTGGGCCGCCAGCTGCTTACACAACGTGGCCTGCCGGCCCACTGCTCACCTGCCTGCCTCCCCACGCCTCGACCGCTTCCGGGTTTTCCGCTCCACCTGTCCCTCCATCTGAAACCAAGTAAGGCAATTCAATTCAACTGCGGAGGATTATTGGTTGTCTGCTGGATCCCTCTGATCGTGATCTCCTCTTGTTCCAGTGCCCCCGGCCCCTACCTAGTCCTGTTTCTACCTCCCCGCTGTCCCCGCTGTTCAGCCGTCTCCTAGAGGTGTCTAGGTCGCCCTCATTATCACAGACGAATCCTACGCGCCACTAGTGTGGTGGCGTCGCTTTGTGTTTCACCTTTGTTTACCTGTGGGCGGAAATAAATCATTTGTTTTCTGTCACCTCGCTTCCGGGTTGGTTTCTGCGCCTGTGTCCATCCCTGTTCCCTCGTGCCGTTGAGCCGTGACAGGCATACATTCATATCCGGCCTGCGAGATCATTTTATATAGATTTTTTATTACTGTTATGTATGGCCCGGCAATATGCGGTGCTAATAACACACAAACAACAGATCCCATAATGCAGTGCTGCAGCCTTCTTTGCCGAACACTAGGCTACCTGGGAACATTCCCGCATCAATCAAGTCAAACTTCAGTTATTGCGAAGCTAGCTGCTCACAATGGCGAAGAGAAAAGTTGATTCTGAAAACAGAGCCTTTCAGCACCGGTGGGAGACTGAATATATGTTTACAGACATTGCTGGTAAACAGTTTACCAGCAGTTTACATTGCTGGTAAACTGGTAAATCACAAAGTGAAGCTGTTGTGAAAGCAAATTTTATTGTAGCAGAGGAGCCAAATCAGCCCGGTACCGCTCTGAAGAGCTGCATGATGAAGCTGTGCGACGTCTAGTGTCCAGACAAAACAAAAAGGGAGATCAGTTTGAGAACAGAAAAAAACACCTCTGCACATGAAAAAACTCTTAATA